CCCCCCCACCCCGATTTTTTTATCTCCTCCCTCGGCAGAATTGCCGATGGTAATTGTGTCGATAGAAAGTCGCTTCTCATGTTAGTGTTTGCTGTAGGAAAAAAAATTCTCGTCCAGGACAAACATAGAATGCAAAAAAACCCGCTCGATTTATAACATCTCCCAAACCTTATCCCCTGTCCCCTGCGTTCCGTTGTTATCTTTTAACTTGTATGAACTTTAAACAGCTAAACAGAACAGAAGAACTTTCATTTTGTCCCGTGTCTCAAAAAAATTAGTTATGGTTTCGAATAGCTTGAACAGCAACAAGTAGAGAATTTTTAAACTATTTTCCCCTCCAGATCCATGCCATAGCTTCTCAGTTCTTTAGTTACTTCGACCTTGGATAATCCGTTTCAAGACGGAGAAAGTTTTCTCGGGGTCCCCGCGTGGCCTCGGTGCAGCGGCCACGGGCGGCTGAGCACTGCGGGCGTTGAACTTGAGCTCCCGGGTCACGGGCTGCCGCCCTGTGCCTGCCACCGCCGCCCTGCAGCAGCGCGGGCACCTCGGGACCCTGACCTTGGAGCAGCTCGGCAGCTGCAACCTAAACTGAACCGTGCCTGAGTCCCTGTGAGACCGGGCGTGGGCTCCATCGTTTGAATGAAACCCTTTCTGTGTGCGAAGGCAGGCTCGGAAGGCATCGCGGAGCCACGAAGCTCGAGTGGCTTCCCGGGTATTTCTGCCTGGGCAGCGCGGGGTGTGCAGGGACTCGGGGACACGCTGTGCTCGTGTCCTTTGCTCGCGAGTGACATTTCACAGACACTATGGACTGAACACGGCCCAAGATTGGCCCTGTGCTGATACGGCGGCCTGGGGCAGAGGGGCTGAGCAGGAACTCAGACACTCAGGACAGTCGCTGCGGGTACGGAGCTGCCAGCCAGGCGGCCTCAGGCTGTGGGAGGGGGCGGCGGGCAGGGACGGACGGCAGGGGGGCAGAACCTGCGGGCAGGGACGGACGGCAGGGGGGCAGAACCTGCGGGCAGGGATGGACGGCAGGGGGGCAGAACCTGCGGGCAGGGATGG